TTTTTTTTTTTTTTTTCTAAAAACAATAATTTTGTGTCTTTTTTCAATAAGTTAAATTTTAGAACAGGTGAAGAGGAGATGAAGAAGAACGTAATGCTGAAGAAGGGATTAGCAGAATTACGTTTTCTAAGCTTAACAAAACAGCAGCAACTTTTGAAGGCATTACTGAAAACGCTTGACGTTGTTGCTTGCTTCTGTTGCTGTAGCTGCTGGTGGTGTGAACGACAATGATGACGATGGTGATGAATGATAATAATAATAAGAAGAAGAAGAAAAAAGATTAAAAGCTGAAGATGAATTTATTTTTTTTTTTTTTGAGTAGAAACAATTTTACACTTATTGCTGACATAACAAAGCTGATTTTCTCAGCTATTCAATTTAAATAGTACTATTATTTGTGATATTGTTGCTGTTATTACCACCATTATTGTTTTTTGTTATATATTCCTATCAATACCCATTGTCGATGCAATATTTGTTGTTTGGCCAAAGCATTATTTATGCTTAACAAATTCTTTCAGCAACAAAAACTAAGAAGAAGCAAAGAAGAAAAAAGTCCTTTTTCGGGGATACCAAAAAATTTTTCACAAAAAAATATTCCTTTTTTTTTGCATTTTGCATACACACAAAAAAAAAACCGATGGTGTTTTTCAGAATATCATAGTTTTATACGTAAAAAGTTTAAAAACAAGAAAAAGAAAGAAAGATGGAAGACATAAGGTAAAAACCGCAACAGAAACAGGTTGAAAAAAAAGTTGAAAAAAACATTAGTTCAGACTAAGTGTACTGCTTGTAAACCCACAAATTATCCTTCCATTACCTCGCTTCCACAGGTCCCTTTTTCTAAAAGGTTTGCTTTTTGGATTGAACTCATTGTGTTGAATTGCACAGATATCAGTGTATCCCCCCATTGTCTTCTCTCCACTTCACCTGATTGTATTCTTTCCGATCAAAATTTAAATACTTTTTCTTTCTGCTCCTTCTTCTTTAGTCAATCGTCGTTTGACTGAATTTCCGAAAGGTTTCTTTTACATCAAAACAATATGCTTCAAAAAAAAAGAATACGAAAAACAAGAAAGTAGTACAAAAAAGAAGAAAAAAATAAACTGAAATAAAATGGCTTCTAATAAATCAGAGAAAAGCAGTGTGAAAGACAAATGAAAGATAAGATAAATTTGAACTGTTCAGATGAAATTCTTCTCTTTTTTTGCAAAAGTTTGACGTCAGAATTAATT